TGCAAGATGGCATCGCGCACTCAGGGGCCCTGAAGCTCTTCTCGGGGCACTCGGATTTGCGCGAACAGTAACTTTTTCGCGAACATGAACTTGCTCGCGAACATTACCTTTTTTTCCGAAGGGAGGAGGGGGGGGTCCAAAAGTTAGCAGCATTGGGTTTTCGCTTGGCAATTCTGCCTGCGGCAGTCAGGGCCTGAACTCGGGGCGCCCCACTGCTTCGCGACAGCAAGGCGAGGGGCATTTCAGAGAGAGGCTGAAGAGGAGGGGGGCCCAAAACTCCAGCGTCATGCTTTGTTGTAACAACGTGGACCCCCAGAAGCTGGACCCTTTCCCTTTCGGGGGCGACCAATAGGGGCGCGTCCACGAGAGGGGGGCAAAAAATCATGGCCAGCGGCATGTACGCGGCCCAGGGGGGGCCGGGAACATATTGAAACAAGAAAAGGCGTCATTGAATCTAGGGAGATCTCATGGCGCCCGCCATGATATCCCCCCCTAGTCCTATCCCCCATCTTGACTGTCCCCGACCCGTGGACCAGCTTATCAGTCCGGGTCGCTCTTCTAACGGCCCCTTGGCCCAGTGAAGGCCACCGAAGGCCGAAAACTGAAGAAAACAAAACAAAACAAAATAACCAAAAAAAACGGTCCGTCGCATTTTTGTTAACGACGGGCGTTCGACCATCGACCCCTTGTTACCCGCCCGCCTTCGGCGCTCATCGGCGGCCTTTTTCGGCGGTGTACTGGCGGCCCTTGGCTAAGACCGCCCCCCGGGGTTCGGGCACCGAGACCGGTTGCCTGGGCTGCGGATCTGCATCAACCCTGGCCTCGGGATGGTGGAGAAGGCAAGATGGGCCGTCAAAGAGACGAATCTGGGATTACCAGCCTCGAACGTATCCCTATCCCTAAGATTGACACGCCAAAAGGCGATTTTGTTTGAGGGCGAATCCCTAAGATTGTCATCGTGATGAGGAGATGCCCAGCATAGGGATAGGGATATGTTCCAGGCTGGTAATGGGAGGCTGATGTGGTGCGGTAAAACAGGGCTAGGATCGGGATAAATCGTTCCAGAGCGTTCCGGAGCGCTCTCAGAGCGTTCCGGAACGCTCTGGAGCGGCCGCGGCGCCCAATACATCCTCCAAACCCGCCGATTCTCAGAGATTTCGAGTTATCCCGATCCGATTTTGTCCCGATCTTCGTGTCGTTTTGTGCGATAGCGCTGGAGGCTCCACAGAAACGGTCTGGAGCCTGGGATGCCATGGGTGATCGTCGGCACGTCCGGCCAGGACCTCTGCACATGCAGCGCGCTGGCCCCCGAGGGCACCGCCCTCAGCCCTGGTGCAGGACCAGGGGGCAAACTGCACAAGAATGGCACGAGGTCAGCTCGTAGTCACTCCTCGCGGGACAGGGACGCGACCTCCTCCCCATGTGAGGACCCAGTCTCATCGCCTCCGCTCGTACGGTGCGCGCTGCATCGCCCCAACTCCCCGTCGATGCAACTGATCTCCGCTCCTGTGCAGCCACGCCCTTTCGTGTTCCATTCGCTGCCACCACATAGGTTCCGCGTGCCGCCGCGTGTCCTCGCTAGACTTTTTATGTGACCACATGCGAACCCTACCCCTACCCCCCACGATTTCTGATGGGGTTCACTTCGTTCGGGAATCCCGAGCAAAGTGAACCCCACCCTCCCCCTCAGAAATCGTGGGGGGTAGGGGTAGGGTTCGCATGTGGCCCCCTATTTTCCGGAGGCAAGGAGGCCCCAAGATGGACCAGGAGGGTCGCAGAAGTCATCCAAGACGGTCTGAGGGGGGTCCGAGAAGGCCCAAGAGCGGTCCGAGGTGCACAAGAAGGCCTCAGGACGGCCCATGAGGCCCCCAGGACGCCCCGAAAGGGCTCCAGGAAGCCCCCCGAGCGGGCCCCACGGAATTCCTATGGGTCTTTTAATTGGTTCTAGCATTCTCGCCTGTCGGGCTCAATCGCTGCAGGACGCTTCAAGAGGCCCTCGACGGCCCAAGAAGCCTCCCAAGAGACCCTCAAGAAAGCCCGAGAGGGCACCAAGACGGCCCGAGAGGGCACCCAAGACGGCCCGACAGGGCCCCAAGAAGGCCCCAAGAGGGGCCCAAGATGGGGAACACGAACCAATATGTCGAGCCACCCGCCCCAAGAGATCCGCCCAGGAGGCCCCCAAGAGGCCCCAAGAGGCCCTGGCCCTGAGACGTCCCAAGAGCCCTCCCAAAAGCCGCCAAGGGGCCCCGAGAGACAATCAAGAGCCCAACGAGGCCCACAAAAGGCCGCAAGGGCCTCCAAAACGCACCCAAGTGGGCCACAAAGGCCCCCAGGAGCACCCCAAGCAACCAAAGATCCCCCAATGTGTCCCCAAGGCCTCTGTTACACGATCCAGGCGCAATGGTGGGATGGGCCGAAGACCATCAGACTTTCGCCCATGCATGAACGCCGAAACTGCCCCTGGCCCGTCCTGGTCCGCCTCTGGCCCCCATGCTGTTCACTTCCCAGGGTCGACGGAGCCAGCCGTCAGGCCCTTGCAAGAAGCCCCCAAGTGAACTCAAAGACGCAGTGATAAGGTCAACGTTTTCTTATTCGGCGTTTCGACGTTGGGCTGAAAAGGGGGGGGGTCTGGCTCCAGACCTCTGCCTAGTGCGTCTGTTTGCAACCGTGCGTCCTGTGGGGGAGACTCCACCTGTTCGAAACAGGCGCCCAAAACAGCCAAGATCTACTCCATGGGGGGGGCGGGGGCGAGGGCACGCGCCGTTCGGCAAAACAATGAATAAGAAAACGGTCACGAGTGAGGAAGGGGGATAAGGAGGATGAGGAGGAGGAGGAGGCGGAGGAGGCCGACGAAACTGGGCACAAGAAGAGCGTGTTTAAGACCCGCACCAGCTCAGACAGTGCACTGATATGTGAGGCTGTTCTGCGGAGTCTGCACAATGACGGGATTCGCCGCGGGCAGCTGGATATGTTGGCGGACAGCTCGGGCCACTTGGAGCTGGCTGCGCGCTGCAGACAGACGCGGAGCGCGCTCCATCGTCTGTGCCTCTCGCTTTGCACCCCCTCCTCTCCCTCCTACGGCTCCCCCTCCCTCACTTCCCCGTCGGCCACTTCCCAATACCTTCCCTCCCGCTCGTACCCATCCTCCCATCCCGCATCTGCGGCCCTACCTGTCCTCATCCTCCTGCAGTCGCAACCTTGGCCCTTCCCGATCCCCAGTCCTTGACGGTGCGAGGCCGCTTGGCGGCAGCCTCCTCAGCATGACCGTTTGCACCAAAACCTGCCCAGGGGCGTACGGGAGAAGAGTCACGGCGCTGAACGCGCCAGGCGACGAAGAGAGAAGGGATGGTGAGCGTGATGAAGAGGGGGAGCATCTACAGCGGCGGCGGAGATGCGATCAGGAGCACCAGGATATGATGAGAGAGGGGGGTATGGCTTATGTTGAACTACACGATAACAAGAAACGAACAAAGCAGATGGTAGATGCGAATGACGTGCAGTGGCAGCAACAGCACCAGTAGGATGTGGAGGACAAGCAGCAACGGCTGTCAACCACCACCACTACCACTACCGACAGTCTGAAGAGTACGTGGACGAGGGCGAGACACTGCAGCAATTGGAAGAAACATGCATACTGTGATGACCACTATGGTAGAAGCAAACGGTAATGGAGGTGCGCATGTGAACACAGATAGAAAGGGACGGAGGGAGAGAGCGAGAGAAAGAGAGGGAGAGAGAGAGAGAGAGAGCGCTGCAATCCACAAACAAAGGAAGTATCGCATATACAACAAAAGCATGAAACATAACAACCACCAAAAAAACAAGGATCGAACTGCAACAGCACGACAAGCGAAATACGACTCGGAGCCCAAAAATCAGATGTGGGTTTGTGCAGCGCTGCGGCAGATGGATAGGAGGCACAGTGCAAGATTTACATGGAAAACACGGAGAAAGTGAAAGGAGCATCAGGAAAAGAGATCAGGCTGAATAGACAAATAACTAATTCGCCACAGCGCCTTCAGAACGTAGTGAAGTACGCCAAAACTCATGATGTGAGAAGGAGAAGGGCTGTTGGATTCTCGAGGGTCACGAGCTCAAATTTGCCAGAATCCACAGGCGCTCCTCGGCACTTCTGGCGTTTATCGCGTGGGCGTGCAGGAAGCCAGACCTGTCCAGACCGACTCCAACATCCCCCAGTGGCCGTCCCAAGCAACACCCAAAAACGCTCAAGACCCCCCTTGGTAGCCCCCCCGCGGCCGTCCTGGGACTCGCTTGGTTGCCAAATTGCCACGTGGACCAGCACCAACACGGGCCAAAAAGTACCGACGACCCACCAAAGAGGGCCTCCGAGGCCTCCAAGGAGGCCCTGCAGGCCCCCAAGACGCCCCAAAGGGCCCCCGTCAGGCCCCCCAGGGGCCCCGAGAGAGGTCCAAAGAGAGCCCCAAGAGGCCCCACATCCCCAGAAGTCTGACGAGGCCTCTCGTTAACAACCCAGCAGAAACGGTGGCGGGATGGGCCGAGGGTCACTAGCAATGATGAGTCCCATGACAAGACACACACACAGACAAATCCCCAACGAAGCATTGCACATGCAGAGTAGACAACGCGCAGCAGGGGGAGAGCGAAAGAGAGAGAGAGAGAGAGAAAAAAAAAAAAAAAGAGGAAGACAAAAAGAGAGACAGAGAGAGGAAAAAAGGGCACAGGGTAAACGTGTGAGGAAGGCCGGGCGAACTAACAGAGGAGGGTACGGCGGAGGACGCTGAGCGCGTTATCGAGCATCGCAGAATGCGCAGACGAGTTCCACGAATAAGCCTTTCCTTACATTCACCTTCCTCCCACTATCGCTCCCATTCCACCCGCGCTACCTTCAATTCCCTCCCCATGTGCGGCACCGGCGTCATCTTCAGTCGCAACCCTGCCATCTGCATGAACTATGAGGTGTCGATCAGCAAAGTGGCCACGCCGGAAGGAAGTGCCACGAAACCCTGTGTCGAGATCAC